TGATTCCTTGTAAAAGGTTTCAGTTTGGTGTTTTAACATCTTAACACCTTTTTTGTTGCCAGAAAAAAGGGGAAAACCTATTGTCATATTTTGGTACTGGCAAAGGAGGTCCCATGATGGTTAACAGGTATAGGGTGGAGCCGTGCTGGGAGATTGAGCGGGCGACTTCTGGATTGCATTACACCAAAGCAACAGCATCCATATACTCTTTGGTTCTTTCGGTAAAGTCACGTAGGTATAAAATAAATCACGTTTCGGGCGCAACACAAGCGTTCGTCACCTGATGACGGACGCTTGTGTTGCACCCGAAACGTTGACTTTACCGAAAGAACCAAATGGTATGGATTCCTGCAGTCACGAAAGCTTCAAATCAAGATTCAACAGCATCCAGTTCTATAGGAACGAAGATTTAGCCAGGTCTTTCCGCGTATGCGACCCGGACATTAGTTGGGCACCCTGCACACCACATCTAGTATACACCTCCTCGTGCGGGTGTCGCGTGCTGTACCTCCCGGTCTACCAGCGACCCGAAACAACAACATAAACAAATTTCAGTGACAAATCAATCCCTCTGGGTGAATAACACCTCGCCAAGGGCACTCCACTGACACGACTGTTGGCACTGGTGGGTGAAGGTACCCCCACCCCCCCATGCCGTGCGGGTCGTGCGGGTTGTGCGGGTTGTGACTGGCCTCAACGTGCACGTGGCCTGGCACAAGCGCCGTGGTGACGTCACCGCCACTTAGTGGCGAATGTGGCGCTGTTTGTGACTATACTCCACCCGCGCTGATTAGTGATGGGGGGCCCATTGTGAGTACACCGGTTCTAACGAATATCAAGTCTCCACTGATTGTAGCCGTGCGCCGGGAATCAAACTCGGGTCGCCACAGCTGTTACATTTTGTAACAGCCCTATTCGCAATCCACTGCTGGATGATGACGGTCATGTCTCACGCCTCTGCGTCGTTAACAGTCCACCCAGAGTAGCTCCATCTCCCCCTTCCTCTGCGGACTCTTTCTGTTCCATTCCTTGGCTGCCGCTCCGTCACTATCTCTTGAACATCGGCCGTGACGGGTCCTGCCCAAGCCCCACTGACTTGTATTCCCAGTTTGAGTGATGCCATTAAAGTGCGATATCTAATAACCCACGTGGCTCCTCGTCTTTCTGTCTCTCGATCTCATTCCAAGCTTGCGCATCTCCAACGCTTCTTGGTGCACCTTTTCAGTGCGCCTGCAGACCCCAACGATAGCGCTAGCGCGCTACATTTCACGAGCTTGCTACAGAGTTATTACGCAGGATGCAGAATTATAATTATCACTTAGGGTCAAAATGAGTGCAACTTGTTCGCGTTAATGAGATAATTGGTCTCGAGCACTGACACCCACGACCCACGTGAGTGGACAATTTGTATTGAACAGCCGTTAATTGATACCTTAATTGGTTATTAGACAAATGGATTTCCCTTAATATACGATTAAACAATGTGTATGTGTTGAACTTGGGTTGCTGGTTTGCATGCCCCGTGAGAGAATTGAAAACGGTTTGGAGAAGCCTTGATCCAACAGAAGATAGATAATAGCTGGCAATGAGATGTGTTTAATTGTTTAATGCAGTTATCGTCGTCGGCATCAGTCATCATTCCACTGCTGGATGAAAGAAGGCATCTCCGAGCCGTCACCATCTCTCAGGATCCTGGGATTGTAATTTTAATAAGTATATTTATATAGGGCCGTTCATCGACGAACTTTACAAAACACAGCATCAACATAACTGGTAAAAAAACTCGGCATAATAATTAAGAAATGCTCAAATCCATTTACTTAATTAACATTGATGTGAGAACATGTTTAGCACGAGCGCACGGAACTGCGATTTAATCGCTCCGTCTCCTCGATGGACGAAATTCGCTCCTGCTGCTGCTGTTAGCGGCAGCAAAGAGCGCCCGTTTGTCCCGCGCAATCAAAAATTTCCAGGTGTCCCTTGAGAAATGATGGAACGATACCCTTGGTTGCATAAACCGAGGTCGTTGAAGACATCGGAGGCCATCACGCAAAGGTGAAATAAAGGTTACGTATGGGATGCATTGGCCCGGGACCATTTTTTTAATACTTTACTGCCTTTCAAACCGACTGCAACGGCACGAAATAATATTCTCCGAGTAGACTTTACAGAGGGCCCTCTCTCTACCTGGCAAATTTAATCCCGAAAATGTTAAACACGCCACATATGTTTTGATCAGGTTTAAAAATAAAAAAAACGTTGCCCGCTTCGCCAGGTGATCGTGATTTTATTTAAATTGGCACGGGGCCCTGTCTGTTGGATCGCAGGTAGCTTCATAGCGGCGGATTTGTGAGTGGCAACTGCTTGTTGATTGTGTAATTGTGGCGTGCGCCTATGTGCGCGTGTGTACCTGCGTGTCACGTGTTCGTGTGCTGCTCATGGAAAATGTTGACCTTGAAGGCGAAATTTGGGTGACATTCACCTCTGCGGGGTCGTGTTATCCCATTGTGTTCGCTCTCACGCTGCATTTCGTAACCTTATACAGACGACCTTTTTTGCCAATCCATTGTTGAAGGTCAATATGAGGTCTATGTAAGTTACGTGGATTCTCTACCCCACGCGAACCTTCTCGAGACCACCTGCACGCGTTCTCTAACATACTGACAATCTAATATTGATTCCAATTTATATAATTGGCAACCATTTCCTAAACTCCACGATTGGATGAAGGTCGCAAGCAAAACAGACAATTGGTCGGCCGTACTTCACGCTGCTGGATCAGTGAGGGTTATTCAGGGGGTGAGTTCGGGGTGGGGTTCATATATCATATAACCAGCCAGGCAACTCGTCCCATCGTCAACCAGCCAGGCAACTCGTCCCATAGTCAACCAGCCCTGCAACTCGTCCCATAGTCAACCATCCAGGCAACTCGTCCCATCGTCAACCAGCCCTGCAACTCGTCCCATAGTCAACCAGCCAGGCAACTCGTCCCATCGTCAACCAGCCCGGCAACTCGTCCCATAGTCAACCAGCCAGGCTACTCGTCCCATAGTCAACCAGCCCGGCAACTCGTCCCATCGTCGACCAACCCGGCAACTCGTCCCATAGTCAACCAGCCAGGCAACTCGTCCCATAGTCAACCAGCCAGGCAACTCGTCCCATCGTCAACCAACCAGGCAACTCGTCCCATCGTCAACCAGCCAGGCAACTCGTCCCATAGTCAACCAGCCCGGCAACTCGTCCCATAGTCAACCAGCCAGGCAACTCGTCCCATAGTCAACCAGCCAGGCAACTCGTCCCATCGTTAACCAGCCAGGCAACTCGTCCCATAGTCAACCAGCCAGGCAACTCGTCCCATCGTCGACCAGCCAGGCAACTCGTCCCATCGTCAACCAGCCAGGAAACTCGTCCCATCGTCAACCAGCCCGGCAACTCGTCCCATAGTCAACCAGCCAGGCAACTCGTCCCATCGTCAACCAGCCAGGAAACTCGTCCCATCGTCAACCAGCCAGGCAACTCGTCCCATCGTCAACTAGCCAGGCAACTCGTCCCATCGTCAACCAGCCCGGCAACTCGTCCCATAGTCAACCAGCCCGGCAACTCGTCCCATAGTCAACCAGCCAGGCAACTCGTCCCATCGTCAACCAGCCAGGCAACTCGTCCCATCGTCAACCAGCCCGGCAACTCGTCCCATAGTCAACCAGCCAGGCAACTCGTCCCATAGTCAACCAGCCAGGCAACTCGTCCCTATGTCCCTGCACGTTGTGGATGAGGGGAGGCGTTCGTCGTAAACGTGGTCCAACGGTTCCAACGTGCCATGTTTATTGGGCTCATCCAGCAGTGGATTGGCCACTGTTGGATGTGAAAGACAAATATCCCCCGTATAGCCTTAACAGACTGTTGGGGCAAGTGCTATTTGTGAGCACCTATGCAGGCCGGCACGGCACACGAGAGGGAGTGGGTGGCCAGCACCACGTCCGGCCGCCTTTGTCTCCCTAGTGGCGATATTTATACACCGCACCAGGTACTCATTGAGGCCGAGTCGACCTAGGGGAGGCCCAGGAACAGGTTCAGATAAACGTCACCGGTGGTGACCGTGAATCGAACTCGGGACGCCCGGGTCCGTAGCGCAGCGTAGCGCTCAGCCACTGCAACGGCCGCTCACCCTCGTTAGACACGTGTACACGTGCGTGTGCGTGCGTACACGTGCGTGTGCGTGTGCGTACGCGTGTACACGTGCGTGTGCGTACGCGTGTACACGTGCGTGTGCGTGCGCGCGTGCGCGTGCGTGTGCGTGTGCGTGCGCGTGCGTGTGCGTGCGCGTGCGCGTGCGTGTGCGTGCGCGTGCGCGTGCGTGTGCGTGCGCGTGCGTGTGCGTACGCGTGCGTGTGCGTGCGCGTACACGTGCGTGTGCGTGCGCGTGAGCGCGCGCACGCGTGTACACGCACGTACACGTGTGTACGTGCGTGTACGCGTGTACACACACGTACACGTGTGTGTGTGTGTGTGCGCCAACGTAGACCCGGCCACGCGAGGGTGGCGCGAGTTGCGAGTTCGGCCGTTGAAGATGAATTCATCTGGGATCGCAGCCCCCACAGCGCGAAGGATAACGCCGCCTAGCTCATGAATAATCAGAACGACGACGCTGCCGCTGCTGCTGCTGTACCACACCACGCCACGGGCGCCGTGCGTGTGAAGACGGCGGCGGCGGCGGTGGTGGTGACGGCTCGGACGAGCGCTTAGCATCTGCTCGTGGCTTACGCGGAGAAGGAAGGAAGGAGGAGAAGGAGGTTGGTGCTGCTGCTGCCGCCAGTGACTGGATGCCTTAGCCCGTGACTCGGGGGGGCGGGCAGGCAGGCAGATGCCCCCGGGTTCGGCTCCCGGTCACCGCCCACAGAGAGTCGAGGGCCTCGCGCGTCACGCGGAGAAGCCGCAATAAAGAGGGGGAGGCGGGCGACTGCCGCGGCTCATTCGGGCTGCTGCTGCTGCTGTAGTAGCTGTTGTAGCAGCTGCTGTTGTAGCTTCTGTAGTTGCTGTAGTAGCTGTTGTAGCAGCTGTTGTAGCAGCTGTTGTAGCTGCTGCTGTAGCTGCTGTAACTACTGCTGTAGCAGCTGTAGTTGTAGCTGCTGCTACAGCTGTAGTTGTAGCTGCTGCTGCAGCTGTAGTTGTAGCTGCTGCTACAGCTGTAGTTGTAGCTGCTGCTGCAGCTGTAGTTGTAGCTGCTGCTGCAGCTGTAGTTGTACCTGCTGCTACAGCTGTAGTTGTAGTTGTAGCAGCTGCTACAGCTGTAGTTGTAGCAGCTGCTACAGCTGTAGTTGTAGTTGTAGCAGCTGCTACAGCTGTAGTTGTAGCTGCTGCTGCTCGCCACTGGCGTTGTAAGCGGCCGGCGGCTGCACGTGAAGCCGCTCGCGGAGCTCAACGGCCACCGGGCACAGAGACATTTCTCATTCATCAGCAGGGGTGGGCTGTGTGTGTGTGTGAAGGCGTCTATCATTAGTAGTGTTGTTGTTGTTGTAAGAAGACGACGGCGGGAGAGAGTGAGAGAGAGGCCGTAGAGAGAGAGCAAAGCTGTGCGGACGGGCGCACATAGACACGCGGACGAGGCTGAGAGGTGGGTGCCTGCAGACACACGCATCATACATACAGACACATCATACATACAGACACACACATACATACAGACACATCATACATACAGACACACGCATACATACAGACATACACGCATCATACATACAGACACATACATACTGACACATACATACATACAGACACATCATACATACAGACACAACATACAGACGCAACATACAGAGACACGCATACATACAACACACGCATCATACATAAACACACGCATACATACAGACACACGCATACATACAGACGCATCATACATACAGACACACGCATCATACATACAGACACACGCATCATACATACAGACACACGCATCATACAGACACACGCATCATACATACAGACACATCATACATACAGACACACGCATACCTACAGACACACACGCACACAGCAACACACGCAAAGACAATACAGACAATACACAAACACACATTACAGACACACGGCAACACACACAGACACAATACAGACAATACACATACACACATTACAGACACACAACAACACACACATACACAGTACAGACAATACACAAACACACATTACAGACACACGCACACAGCAACACACACAGACACAATACAGACAATACACAAACACACATTACAGACACACGGCAACACACACAGACACAATACAGACAATACACAAACACACATTACAGACACACACAGCAACACACACAGACAATACACAAACACACATTACAGACACACACAGCAACACACACAGACAATACACAAACACACATTACAGACACACACAGCAACACACACAGACAATACACAAACACATTACAGACACACAGACACAATACAGACAATACACAAACACACACTACAGACACACAAACACAATACAGACAATACACAAACACACATTACAGACACACGGCAACACACACATAGAGAACGAGACACGTGGACGCACACGAGAAACGCGTAGTCCCGCGCGCACAAAGACAAAGATCCCCCGTGTAGCCTTAACACACTGTGGGGGCAAGTGCTGTCAGCTAGCACCAAATGAAGGCCGGCACGGCACACGAGGTGGGGGTGGTGGCCAGAGCACCACGCCCGGCCGCCTTTGTCTCCCCTTAGTGGCGACGTTTACGCACCGCGCCGGGTACTAATTTGAGGCCGAGTCGACCTAGGGGATGCCCACAGGCAGACGACACGACGTGGACACGGGGACCCTCCTTTTGTGTACTTAAAGATGCGAGCGCAGAGCTAAGAGGCAAAAGATTCCGCGCCGGTTTAGCGGTTAACCGACTTGGCGGTAGCGGTGAGCGCGCCGCCCTACGACCCGGCCTGGCCCCAGTTCGACTCCCAGGTGACGATTAGAATCAGAACCGGTCCCGGGGTCCTTAACCCGCCCCCCCTCCCTCCCCTAGGTCGACTCGACCTCAAACGGGTGCCTGGCGCGGTGTGTAGCAAACATCGCCACTGGGGGAGACAAAGGCGGCCGGGCGTGGGGTGCTGTCCAATCACACCACCTCGTGCGTGCCGTGCCGGCGGCCTTCATGAGCTGATGATACTCGTTGTGTTTCTTCTGTGTGCTTGCTTTGTAGACACACAACACCACGCACACCGGTCTCATTGACTTACATAGACATATACAGTCACAGAATTACATAGACACAGTCACAGAATTACATAGACACAGAATGACATAGACACAGTCACAGAATTACATAGACACAGAATTACATAGACAGAATTACATAGACACAGTCACAGAATTACATAGACACAGAATTACATAGGCACAGTCACAGAATTACATAGACACAGTCACAGAATTACATAGACACAGAATTACATACACAGTCACAGAATTACATAGACACAGAATTACATAGACACAGTCACAGAATTACATACACAGTCACAGAATTACATAGACACAGTCACAGAATTGCATAGACACAGTCACAGAATTACATAGACACAGTCACAGAATTACATAGACACAGTCACAGAATTACATAGACACAGTCACAGAATTATATAGACACAGAATTACATAGACACAGAATTACATAGACACAGTCACAGAATTACAGACACAGAATTACATAGACACAGTCACAGAATTACATAGACACAGAATTACATAGACACAGAATTACATAGACACAGAATTACATAGACACAGAATTACATAGACACAGAATTACATGGACACAGGCACAGAATTACATAGACACAGTCACAGAATTACATAGACACACACAGTCAGACATAGACACACACAGTCAGACATAGACACACACACAGTCAGACATAGACACACACAGAATTACATAGACACACACACAGTCAGACATAGACACACACACAGTCAGACATAGACACACACAGTCAGACATAGACACACACAGTCAGACATAGACACACACACAGTCAGACACAGACACACAGTCAGACATAGACACACACACAGTCAGACACAGACACACACAGCATTACATAGACACACACACAGTCAGACATAGGCACACACACAGTCAGACATAGGCACACACACAGTCAGACATAGGCACACACACAGTCAGACATAGACACACACACAGTCAGACATAGACACACACAGAGTCAGACACAGACACACACACAGTCAGACATAGACACACACACAGTCGGACATAGACACACACACAGTCAGACATAGACACACACACAGACATAGACACACACACAGTCAGACATAGACACACACACAGTCAGACATAGACACACACACAGTCAGACATAGACACACACAGAATTACATAGACACACACACAGTCAGACATAGACACACACAGAATTACATAGACACACACACAGTCAGACATACACACACACACACAGTCAGACATAGACACACACACAGTCAGACATAGACACACACACAGTCAGACATAGACACACACACAGTCAGACATAGACACACACACAGTCAGACATAGACACACACACAGTCAGACATAGACACACACACAGTCAGACATAGACACACACACAGTCAGACATAGACACACACAGTCAGACATAGACACACACACAGTCAGACATAGACACACACACAGTCAGACATGCAGTTATAGACTTACATAAGCATTTGTATACAGTACATGCACGGTAATCGACTTGCACAGACGCACACAGACTTGGGGTCGTGTACTGTGTACAGTATGCTGCTGTACTATACTGCTATGGTCCTCGCGTTAACCAACCCCTACTGACCAGAGTGGTGAAGTATGGTCATAAACCACACGACTTGCGCGACTTGGAGGGGGGGAGACCCTCATCCAGCAGTGGATTGAAAAAAGGCCGTACAATGTACGTTAGACGCGCATACATACAGACACGTATACAAGTACATACAGACACGTATACAAGTACATACAGACACGTATACAAGTACATACAGACACACACACACGTACATACAGACACGTATACAAAGTACATACAGACACGTATACAAGTACATACAGACACACACACATGCATACATACAGACACTATACAAGTACATACAGACACACACGCATACATACAGACACGTATACAAGTACATACAGACACGTATACAAGTACATACAGACACACACACACACGCATACATACAGACACGTATACAAGTACATACAGACACGTATACAAGTACATACAGACACGTATACAAAGTACATACAGACACACACACGCATACATACAGATACGTATACAATTACATACAGACACACACACGTACATACAGACACGTACATACAGACACGCATACACGTATACATACAGACACGTATACAAGTACATAAAGACACGCACACACGCATACATACAGACACGCACACACGCATACATACAGACACGTACACACGTACATACAGACACGCATACACGTATACATACAGACACATGCGTACATACAGACACGCATACATACAGACACGTACACACGCATACATACAGACACATGCCTACATACAGACACACGCGTACATTAGACACACACACAGTGCTAGACTACCGTGTAACATGCACTTTAGTCAATCCACTGCTGGATCTGTGACCATACTTCACCACGCTGGTCAGTGCGGGCCGGCTAATGCGGGAGGGGGGGGCAGCACCTCACTGCCGGCCTCCTCCGACTCCGCAGTGCCGATGTTTATACAGCCCGCACTAGCTACTGATTATTAAAGGCTGAGTCGACCTAGGGGGGAACTGGGATCTGCGTCGCCGATGTTGGCTGTGCGCAGGATTCAAACTCTGGTTCGCCAGGTTTCAAATCGCCGGGTTCGTCGGTGTGTGAACACATACACTGTGTGTGTTTAGTAGGTAGGTGCGTGTACACACACGTGTGTGTGTAGTAGGTAGGTGTGTGGACACATACACTGTGTGTGTTTAGTAGGTAGGTGCGTGTACACACACGTGTGTGTGTGGTAGGTAGGTGTGTGGACACATACACTGTGTGTGTTTAGTAGGTAGGTGCGTGTACACACACGTGTGTGTGTGTGTAGTAGGTAGGTGTGTGAACACATACACTATGTGTGTTTAGTAGGTAGGTCCGTGTACACACACGTGTGTGTGTGTGTGTGTAGTAGGTAGGTGTGTGAACACATACACTGTGTGTGTTTAGTAGGTAGGTGCGTGTACACACACGTGTGTGTGTAGTAGGTAGGTGTGTGAACACATACACTGTGTGTGTTTAGTAGGTAGGTGTGTGAACACACACGTGTGTGTGTGTAGTAGGTAGGTGTGTGAACACATACACTGTGTGTGTTTAGTAGGTAGGTGCGTGTACACACACGTGTGTGTGTGTGGTAGGTAGGTGTGTGAACACATACACTGTGTGTGTTTAGTAGGTAGGTGCGTGTACACACACGTGTGTGTGTAGTAGGTAGGTGTGTGAACACATACACTGTGTGTGTTTAGTAGGTAGGTGCGTGTACACACACGTGTGTGTGTGTGTAGTAGGTAGGTGTGTGTACACATACAATGCAGTAGGTGCTTGTACACACACACGCGTGTACGCTGTGTAGGTGTGTGTAGTAGGTAGGTGCGTGTACACACACGTATGTGTGTGTGTTTAGTAGGTAGGTGCGTGTACACACACGTGTGTGTGTGTGTAGTAGGTAGGTGTGTGTACACATACAGTGCAGTAGGTGCGTGTACACACACACGTGTACGCTGTGTGTGTACACACACTGTGTTTAGTAGGTAGGTGCGTGTACACACACGTGTGTAGTAGGTGTGTGTGTGTACACATACAGTGCAGTAGGTGCGTGTACACACACGCATGTGTGTGTACACGCACCTACCTACTACACACGTGTGTGTAGTAGGTAGGTGTGTGTGCACATACAGTGCAGTAGGTGCGTGTACACACACGCACGTGTGTGTAGTAGGTGTGTGTGTACACGACGTTGGCAAACAGCTCCAGACGTACACATGAGGTCCGGCGGTACCACGTGTAGAGAGAGGGAACAGCCCTGTACAAGGCGAATGTACAAGGCGAATGATTTGATGATGCTGCTGCTGCGTTGGCAGCGGTGCACAAACAGATAACAACAACAACCACCACCACTCAACACTGTGGCCTTGAAATGAATCTTAAATCGGCGACGCATGATATGAGGGAGCATTTTTTACCGAAACGTCTCTAATTATATAGTACTCTGTACAGATATGTTATTTTAAGGCCCACAATTTTTGGGGAAATTTGAGTTTTTTGTTTGTTTGTTATTCATGTAAAAGACCGGTAGATGCATAAACAGAGCTCAGGAAACTATACTCTTTAGTTCTTTCGGTGAAGTCACGTAGGTAGAAAACTAACCAGGAATTCAGCCTGGATAGCGCTTAAGTGAGTGTCTGCCAAACTTAAGTCGCCATGGCTTGCGGGGCTAAGTGGTTATCAGAACAGCCACATTCGTTGTTGTACTTCTAATGCCCCCTGTCTGATCCCCGTTCACACCAATGTGTGTTGACCAGCGTGGTGAAGTATGGCCAATGAAATCACCCTTCTCCCCAAAGAGGATTGACACGAACGGCTGCACGTGTCCACCGCTGACATGTGTCCTCTGTGTAGTCCACACAGACTGAAGGTGCAGTTGGCGAGCGCCGATTAAGGCCTCTCAACAGCACTTCGCTGGAGGCACTCGGTGCTTCAAATCCTACGTGGGTTTGTAAGTCAATTCCAGGGCTTCATTTCCCACTCGATATTTCCCTGGAACGCATCTGCCGGGGCTGGCTGGAAAGTCGTGATCTATAGCTTTCAGGCACCGTCACTCCCTCGTGCAATGCATGACTGTCAACACGAATGCTGCATTGCGCAGCCTATACTTTACTCCTGAAATCGTGTAAACAGCTTTACGCAAATGAAAGTTCAAAATAGGGCGAGGCGAATTGCGAGGCTGTGTTCGAACGTAAATCGCAGCCATTCCGCACTGTTCCGGATCGAGGTTGAGCCAGCTGCAAATCTCTCCATCTACAGCGGCTCAAGCCTCTCATAAATCACGTGAAATCTGTGGCCACTCTCACTCTGAATCCCTCACGTCTGCTAGCTCCTTCGTTCTCTCCCCCTCCCTTCCCTCCCTTCTCAGCCTCCCTCTCATCCAGGGGCGGAGCCAGGATTTTGACTTTGGGGGGGGGGGGTGCTGACTTCAATATTCTGAGAGATATCTCAGTGTGTTTATGCTTTCCAACGGGCGCCACAAATGTATAAAAAAAAAATTTGGATTTGAACGTGGAGTTTATTAATAGGTCGGAGCCGCTGATGTGGCTTAAGTTCGATAAGTTCTAAAGGCTGCCGCTCAAGCAGCCTTCAGGGGCAGCACGAGGTGGCAGCCAGCATTTTGCAGTAGCCAGATATCCGGTTATCCCAACTTTCCCAAAATTTCAGGGGGGGCTAATCCCCCCCCAGCCCCCCCTGTGGCTCCACCCCTGCTCTCATCCACCAGGCCATACCTGCCTGGCTCTTCCTTCTTCCTGCTGTTCATCTTGAGCTGTACCCTCCACCTGTACCCTCCACTTTGTTCTTCTTTGGGGACTTTCGTCCTGGGATCCCTTCTTCTTCCCAGCTCATCTGCCCTTAAATGGCAATGGACTCTGCCACTCACCCTTTTCCATGGTGTGTCATGGATAAACAACGCTTTATGGAGCTGATGTAGACAAGATACACACGCCACTCGGACAAGCACCAGTCGAGATGGCTGCATGCACAGATCGATAGACACAAACATTCGTGGTGGTTTGGGTTGGATACAGCTCACATCGACATTTTATGAATTTAGCCACAATTCGTCCATTCAAATACCACACGAAATACACTTATGTTCAGATAGTACATGAATTGCTCAATTAATTTGACAGCAGAGAGTCTCAAGTGCAGTTCAGGCGATCAGCTTTTTTCATCATTGTGTTGTCTATGTTGTGCATAACGCATCGTTTTTAATAATTGTATTTGCTCTGCCATCACTTCTTCCTCCTGAGTAACGTTAATTATCTCAAGTTACCACTTTGTTCCGATTTGTCGAGCTGTGCCGCATGGGATGTGACATTTCAATTAACAAATAATGATGGCAATAATGACGATCATACAGACATGGACACTCGCAGAGTGAAATGCAGATACAGGAGAGCTCTTAGCGACGGTGATATGGTGACGACCAATATCACGGATCCTACTATCTGTGGGAGTTATTTGCATTTTATTTCCCCCCCTAATCCGCCAGGTAATTTTTTTTGCGACTAACCTCACGGATAACGGGATGAATATTCCACGTGGAGACTTTTGTCCGTGAATTTTTATTGCAGACTAGCTTTACTACCCGGCTTCGCCCGGGACTTGAATTCACCACGCCCGCCGCCTTTGTCTCCCCAGTGGCGATGTTCACACAGCAGAGCAATTACTCGTTTGATGCTGAGTCGACCTAGGGAAGGCCCAGGACCGGTAAAAATAATCGTCACAGGTGGTGGCCGTGAGCGGGAATCGAACTCGGGTCGCTGGGTTCATAGCGCAGCGCGCTAACCACTACACTACAATTCGTTACGCTTCCACATGCACAGGTCACATGACAGATTTGACGTCACAGCTCACTTGCCGTACAAAAAAAATGCATAATTGAGCTCCCCCCCCCCCCCCCCCATATATTTTTTATAATTTTTGCATGGTGTACAGTCTGGAAAGTACCCACATGGCAAATTTCAAGTTTGTTGCATGTCGGGAAGTACGCTAAACATTTTGAACAGACACACATTCACAACTTTGCTTTTTATATATTGCAGATAATTGGATGTCGTTTTCGCATAGACTTATGGGAAAAGTCGTGGATAATCACAGATTATTGGAAGGGAGAGGGCCATGGGTTAATAGGAGTTTTTGGGTACCCTGCAGTTTCCTCGGATAATAGGAGACGCATATAATAATGTGGCAGATAAGAGGAGTTCTTGTGTACAGACGCAGGACGTGTTGAGAGAGACGCACATGGCTGAAAGGTGATCTGGACGTGCGCTCTCGACACGGCGGGGCGCGTGCGAGTTGTCTGCACGCTTCGAAGCACAGGTCCAAGACTGCGACAGATGTTTACGTTGATTTTGATTTGTAAAAACGAATGACGCTGTTTAGTGAGTGGCCCGGCTATTTTACACAGGAGTTCCGCGGTGCGTGAGTACAGCAGCGGCAACAAAATCAAAAGGCAAAAACATCCTTAAGGAATGTTCCCCAACGAGCAAACAAGATATTAACGGTCGGAAACGAAACGCACAAATCGAACGGTGCAAATGTGAGTATCGAGAGGCGCCGGAAAAGGTTGGGTGTACGTGCGAGTAAGCTCTATGTTTTAATCTTACAGTGAAAAATACATGCAAGTCGAAAAAGGCAGTGCAAAGATGTGAGAGCCAGAGCCATGATAGCACAAAAAGTTAGGTGCATGTGCAAGTAAGCTGCGTGTTTTGACGTGGGGCCATGTTTGACCCCTTTACCTCTCCTTTGGTGAAGTTGATCTCTCACTGTTTTTCTGCCGCTGTAAACCCTTGCTGTCTTCCCCCCCTCCTCCTGCTCTCACCGTTCTCTGCAGCTACCGCCACGTAGAAGCTTCACAGAGGAACGGGAGAAGCGGGTAGAATGGAGCCACCCTCGGGTGAAATGTCAAGCCTGCAGCTGGCAGCCAGCAGCGGCCTGGGTGGCAGCCGCTTCCAAGTGAACGTGGTGGAGGAGGAGGCGGCCGCCGCCGCTGCTGCAGCCGCCGCGGCCGCCGCAGCCGCAGCCGCCGCAGATGGCGAGGGGCAGCCGGAGCGGGGATCGCAGGAGCCGCCGGGCACCCAAGAGGAAGCGCAGGAGCGAGCGAGCGAGGACGGGCCGGAGGAGCGAGGGGAGCAAGGGGAGCAGCAGCAGAAGAAGCAGCCGCCACACGGCAACATGAGCGACCCGAGCCACAAGGAGGAGGGCAAGGCCGGGCGCTTCCGCGTGAACTTCGTCAACAGCCGCTCGCGCAGCAACAGCAGCAGCAGTGGCGGGGGCGGCGGTGGGGCCGGCGGGGAGACGTCGCGCAGCGAGGGCAGCTACCACGCGTACGACACGCACACCAACACCTACTACCTCCGCACGTTCGGCCACAACACCATCGATGCCGTGCCGCACATCGACTTCTACCGCAATGCCGGCTCGCACCTGGGCGACAAGCTGGTGCGGCCCACGCTCGCCGAGCTGCACGACGAGGTGAGGGGCGGTCGCGACGATGGGGGGCGCCTGGCGCGCGCCACTTGAATTGGGGTAGGTGGCACGGGGACCTGGAGCCGCTAGTGGCGGGGGCGACACAAGTGACCGTGCGAGTTGCCACCTGACCTGGGTATCCCAGGACCTGTCATTCCTTTTTGAGATACCAGGCTCTCTGGGTGGAAGCTGGGTGGCATCTGGCTTGCACGTAGGTATTTTGAGGGGTCCACCTAGGTCGTTTCTGGTGGGGGGGGTACCTTGGTTGTGTCCGGAGGGGGTTTCCCGTGGGTGGCTCTGGCACGTTGGGGCAACCGGTTGGTACTGGCGGCTGCTTAGACGCTCCTCCTGTGGACTCTGGTGAATGGTGTTGGGATGCATGCCAATAATGGGAAGTTACAATTCCACCGTGGTAATGTTTGAGAGGATTTTTTTGTGCTCTTTTGCGTAACCGAGTTCGCGTTTTACGACCGTCATGGAATTATTTCACCTTTTTAACAATACCACGCATCCTTGAAAGCTCTTCATGCGGTGGATGTTTTGCGTGGGCGTAACAGTCTTGAGATGCCACTGAATTCCTGGGGCAATATCTCGCACGCGTGTGCCCAGAACGCGCGATTAAAACGTGCGGCGTTCCTGGAACTCCTCTGGCGAACCGTGACGTTCCTTGCAGAGTCGCCGTCGGGCATGGGATGTTTGTGGGTTTTGTTGCGTTGGTGCAACTCGCGTGATACGACCGCGATCGATGCATTTCGTTCGGAACATTCCGCCGTGAGGCCACGCGAATATCAGCAACGAATTGTCCAAACAGAGTCGCGGTGCAGTGCCGAGCTGTAGCGTTTGGGGGGGCTGGAGGAGACTTGAGCGCTCCTTGACTGAAAATTCCGCCCCCTTCCCCTCCGCTTCTAAATTCTTATCGTCGAGTCAAACACTACTCGTTCCCACAGACTGATCTGCTACCGAATCGTTTTTTTTTTAATTGGCAAGCTTCATGTGGTGATGATGATGATGATACACAAACTGTCTGCAGTCGTTAGGGTGGGCACCTGGATAAATTGCGCAATTGAGTCCAATTAGGCGATGGGTTAGGCCTTAACGCCCGCCCCGTGTGCGCGAGCGACAGAAGAAGGCACGGTCGGTAGACGGGAGCAGGTCGTGTCGTTGCTCATTCCGTTTCAGCGGTTGGAAATTTGTTTTCGAATGACCCCCCCCCCCTCCCCATTTTTTAAATAATATCGTCATACAGGGGTTGTGTGTAGAGCACAGAGAGTGCCAGGTAATGCATTTCTAATAATAATACCTCTGTTTATCCAGGAAAGTCCAATTTACCCTGGGGGAAAGATCCACGTGCACATGAGAGCATATCACTCGTAGGTCCGCACAGATGGTTCACGAAACCCACTTTGCTGTACTGCCTGGCCACCTCGCATTCCAGCGGATCTGTAAAGTTTTATAAATCTAAGCGACCCACCAAACCTCCGCTTGCCTCCGTGCTCGGCCCGTGTGGAGCACACTGCGGGTAAGTCCACGCCGGTGGCACGGGGGATCCAGGCCGTGATTTGTGCGTGGTCCACTGAGGGTGCGCGCCAGGGGCCTCTTCCTAATCCACAGCGGAGGCCGGGCAGGGTATGGCTCTGAACCGGACTCATGACCAATTTCTTGTGATGTCACGGTTGAACTGTGGAGTCCCCGAGCAATTTGTTCTTCCGTGCGAATTATGAGAATAATCAATTGAAATGTCCGGAGAAATCCGTCCCCTGTGCTGTAACCGCGTCTGGGGTGGCTGTCGTGAGCCAATTGCGATGCCCAAGGGATTCCTCGCTCACCGGTTATTTTTCCGGGTCACTAAACTCTGGAAGGTGGCACGTGACTTGCAGCCACAGCAATAACGTTGGAGGTATACTGGATGTGGTGCGCCGGATGGGGAGATGATTTTCTGGTTTGTCGACCTGTGCACACCTGGCTGAAATAAGAGTCCCTGGCAAGAGCTATTCAAACACATGAGTATTTACGTTTTATCCTCAAAGCACAAATTGCCAATAAACTCGCACTGCACTCTCCTACCTCTCCCCTCCCACACGCTCCCCTACCTCTCATTTCGCCTTGCTCCATTCTACGCATTCTCCTACCTCGCGGCCCCCTCTTAGCTCGCATGCTGGAGGTTTACGTGTCCCATGCGATGTCCTGGTGGAGCCACCAATGCGAGATTAATGTGATTGGCCGGAGATGCCCCCTGTGTCATCATTGCAACCACTCCTAAAAGTGCTGTAAAACGTTAATTAAAAGCTATAAAAGTTAACATTAGTCCGCTTTTGTATTGACTAATCTAAATAGGTGTGCAACGGGCCGTGTTTGGTGAAGACAAACTAACGGTGACATTGGCAACAGGTGGCACGGCACTGCTGGTTGGGAAACGCTCCTGCTGCTGCTCTGAGGATCTGTGTTCGGGTGGCAGGAATTTATTTGTACCCTAGACCTGGTTACCGGTATCGTGCCGAGCGTGATTACGGTTTAGTGTGCAAAGGTTTGTGTAGCCCTCGGCTGGCTGCGTTTTGCTCTCGAGAACGAAAAGATGAAGACCCCCATAGCTGCATCGCTGCTGTGTGGAGAAGCAACTCCATTGAGCCAATCGCCAACGGGGATGCTGCCAATTTTTTTCTCCCGTTGCACTTGGACGATCGCTAAACGTGTAAAGTGGCCGGGTGGGCCCAGATTCCCTGCCGAGATCTAGGTTTTCAAATCTGAGCAGCCAAAGGTGTGATTCGATTCATTATTCTCAAGCTTAGTGAGCTGATGGTTTCTGACAGTTTGCAAATGGCCGCATGAAAAACAAATTAACAGAATGAAACTTGTCTAAGTTCCATCGCCCATGGGAAAAATAAATTGTTTTGCCCGTCAGGTGACATTCACATAGCAGAGTGTGTGGGTAATTGCGCCCGCTCTTGTGAGGAGGATAGAAGGCAACATTAATCTGTTTGTAGGAGAGCGGCTGTGATGTTAGCTACCTCGCCTGGTATACAGGAGGTCTTGGGTTCGATCCCGACCCTGACGCCTGCTGTATATTTGGAGATTGCATGTTCTCCCTGTGGTGGAGTAATGATTTTTTCCTCCAGTTTTTCCCTCCACATTTAGAAACGTGTTTTAGGGTGTTCAGCTGCTATACATTTGCACGTGATAATATGCCACTTGGTTGAGCGATCATTTGTGGCCAGGTCACTTCTGAAAAAATAACTATATAGCTCAGTGGGGCTTTACCTGGTAAAATAAAATATGTTTTAGTTCATTAATTTTTTGTTGTTGTAATTTGCTTGCCTTTCCTATACTTTGCACTCAAATAGTTTTTGTAGTTTTAGTGTTAGTTTTGGTAACTTTCTGATCCATCCCCTACTGGGCATCTGTGATAAAGAGCGTAATAGCTCATCGGATTCCTCCAGCATAAATACTGATTCTGATTCCCGAACCACGGTTTGCTGCTGCTGCTGTGCGAGATCTCTCAATGGATTCCTCCTTCGTCTTGTGACGCAGTTCATAACTTCGCGCGATCGCAATAACATTAGGAACAAAAAAGACCGCAGATATTTGCTCTGCGCTATTGTTCGTTCTCAAGTGTTGGAAGGTGTTTGGGGTTATGCAGTGCATCTTTGTTTGTGGAATGTATCGGACGAGTGAGTGACAGTTTAATTAAGTTATTTTTTTTTATCGTGCCACGGCTTACCTGTTTCATAATGAAAATAGTCAACAGCTGTGGCCCTTTTTATCAAGCCTCTGCTGCGTGAAGACCTCCCAACACACGCATGTTTTTTTAATGGTGGTAGTTTGGCTATACTTCACCATGTGGGCCCACTGCAAACGTTGGTGAAGGGGGCTGGGACAGGGCTGCAGGACCCGGTTCGGATTATAATCACTTGCCACCGATGTTCGCTGAAATCGGGTCGCCGGGTACGTAGCACAGTGTGCGAAACCGCTGGCGCCGCCGCTCCGTAAAGGCGTACTGGAGATATTATATAACGTGTTTTTTTTACAATGAGTCGCTGGTTGTTTTGCACATGTAACGCTCCTGCCATAGGAACGTGTAATTTCCACTGCTAATGATTATGGGCGCCGTCTCGTGCTCATTTGCGCAGGGAGAGACCCCCTAGTGTCACCACCCAGTGGGTGCTGGGAGCGTGAGCCCTTCGCCAACTCTCGCTGCCCAGCGTGGTGAAGTATGGACAAACAAACACCGTGACAAACACGGCTGGTGGAAGCGCTCGTCCAGCGGCAGATCAACAGAGGCCTTGGAGGCGTTGCACGCGCCGATTCGTCGATTCTCGGTCTCTAAGAAGCACCAACCGTATCACGCGAGGTGACCAACGCCATGCGGGGTTTATTTCTCGACTCTCCCCCTCCGATGCTTCATTTGGAGGTTCTTGTGACCGCTGCAGCCATTCGAGGCTGCTACATTCACCGGACTTTGAAACGGATTCGAAAGAATCGATTGTCGGAATCGAATTGTGTGACCTTGAATTGTGGCCGTTGATCGAGTCAGGTGTGGGGGCCGGAGGGGGGAGTGGGTGGGGGTAAGAGGATAGTGGCATCGCTAACTGTTGAGGTCTCTGTATGGTTAACAAGAGATCCCCTCCTCCCTCCTTGTTCTCAATGGACCCTTATCTAGGGTAGGGTTTAATAATAAGGCTTATCTGTCCATTCATTCAGTCGGTGCCGCGTGTCGTCAACCTGAGTGCTTTTGCACAGCCCTTGGATGTACAGTGCCCGCTAGGCATGAAACAATGCGTAAATTCACCGGCTCTAAATCCCATTCTTAGGGGCTTGCGGATATGCCCGTTGAGTCGTGCGTGCATGATGGGGGATCGGTGGTTGACTGAGCGATCGCGTTCCCGAACGCTGGCGGCGAGGTGATGCGCTGACGGTCACGTCTATTGGGCCAACGGAGTGGACTCGAAGCTGCGCGAAGAAGGCGGAAAAATATTGGCGGCTAGACGATCGAGATGGCAAGAAACGAGATG